TAACAGCAGTAACTTCTTTAGAGCCCAGAGCAGTCTCCCTATAAGTGGCAGTGGGAAAGTGGACAAAGCTCTTCACAACGGCCAGTATTCCCTTTGCTAAATTGCTGAATTCTTAGCACTAGATGGAGTTAAACAGCACACAGTCTCTGAGATCCTTAGGAATTTCTGTACTCACAAGGCCCAATAGCAACTGGATGCCTTCCACCATGATACGTGATACCAGACCAAATGTTCAGGAGGCAGCCACTCAGTCATCGTAGCAGAACCCAGGTATCAGCCTATGGCAGCAGATACCTGAGAGGGCAATCCTGGCCAGGAAAGACCCAGCGCCCCATGTGCTCAATGAATATATACAGTTAACCAGTATGTCTGAGAGCCCCTCTCTCTAGGATAAGCTCAGGCTGTATCAGTATTCAAGCTGCCATCTGCATAACTCCCCACCTATCATCCAGAAACTTCTGAAGTCTCCTGGATACAGAGGAAGCACACAGGGCAGACCTTACTAAATGATCACAGCTTACTCAGCACAGTGAGCTAACTATACTTTCACCTAGCAATAATTACAGCAACTCTAACTAAATGTACCTATTGCAAAGATAATTAAACCTGTCTACCTAATCCTAAAACCTACCTATAAGTGTAATTTAGAGCTTGAGTTACAGAGCTCAGTAAACATGCTTTGTAGCAAAGCAGCGGAGTCCAGGTCTACCCCCTGGCTGGAAATGGTCATATTAAATGTTCAATAGCAAAATAAATTTTTTTATTCATTAAAAAAGTTAAAATACTATTATGTTGGCCTTGAACACAATAAATAAAGGTAAAAATGTCCAGAAAAATGCTATATATTTCCCTTAAGATAGAAATTCAGAGGGTCAGTGTGACCTGTAATAATTTTCTTGAATATCCGTTTTATAGTTGGTTTGTTTAGTAATGTTTCAGTTTAATAGGTTGACACACAAGTGCTAACATTTACATACGTATAATTTCTGACTCCAACAACCTACAAGTGTTTGTTTCTGAATTGTGCCAGCAAGCTGCATTTTGCCACTGATCATTTACCTACAGTCATTTCCACAGACTAAGCCTCTTGTCTTTTCTTTCCCAACTAGCAAACAATTTCACAGTCAGATTATATAGCAAATATATAATTATAGTAATTAAGATTATATTACTCAACCTGCCTGTGGTACACCACTCGGTATTATTAATATATTGCTCTAAATAGGTGTCATTGTCAGAGTAAGAGACTGTAAGCCCATTTCCAGCCCGGCCCCTATTACAGTACAGCAGGGAATAGCTCCAACACACTGCGGCTAGATCTGACACCAGGAATAAAAACGGAAAACCGGGACTTCTTTCATGTGTATAAACAAATAATAAGATGCACTCACACAGCACATTGTAATTTATACAACAAGTGACAAATGCAATGAAGCCATGGTGCATATACACACAAAAAACAAAGTGCATGCAAGAATAAAGCATAAGGATCATCAATAAAAATTGATTTCTGTCTCGCTCCTTTTGACAAGTCACTTTATCTGCCCATGCCGTGGGTAGAAAAAAAAAAAGAAGAATAAATGATATTGATAAGCCCTGCAGGGCAGGAATTTTCTGTTTATCAGTGTGTGAAGGTACATCAGTAGAAGAAAGCCACATATTTCTCTGTGGTTCAATATTCTATGAGGCTTATGATAGATCGGTTGTACAATATATAGAGAACATCTCATCTTAAAAACTCTTCAGCCTAATTAAAACGGGGAATATTGCTTTCGTATCGAAAGATGTTAAATTCACTAATTAGAACAAATGAACATGTTTACCTGCTTTCCTTGCAATAGGAGAGCAAACATAGCAATTGCCAGCAGGACCATGGACCAGTTCAAACTGTATTTCAAGAATACTTCTGTTGTAGCCAAAAGGTAAAACACTGTCATCATGTCTTTATTAGCAGAAAGAGGCAATCATGTACACAAACTTGTTATTTTGTATTAGGCATTTACTGTACAGTATGTAGGAGTGCAGCTCCTAGCTAAATTCAGTCACCAGATATTCTCCATACGTTTCCTGTATGGCTTTTCCCATATTTTTCTAAGCTGCAAATATCACTAGGCTCAATGCTTTTATTTAAAAAGGTTAATCAGATAACTAAAAAAAATCCCTGTGCATTACTTTGAGGCTAATTGCTACTCCCCTACATGTAATAATAACCCCAAGGTCTATGTAGTCCTTGTACACACAATAATATCCTTAAGGTCTCTTTTTAATGGGTCAGGAGTGGGCACTTCTCGTCCCCCCTTTTCTGGCCTGCCGAGATGCATGCTCAAATAAGGACCTGGAATGGATTTTGGGGGGACCCCACACCTTTTTTGTAATTTAGGCATGGGGTTCCCTTCCAAATCCATACCAGACCCAATAGGCCTGGTAGGCATGGGGGGGGGGAACCCCTGCTCTATTTTTTTTTAACCTGCTCTTCTTTTGTTTATATGCTGCTGACAGCAGGGAATCCTGCTGACAGCATATGAGTCTTGGTTGTTAAAGATGGGGTGGCCGCCCGCTCCTTAACAAACATGCTTCTCATTGAATCGAATGTTCAAAATGAATCCATTAATTTCATTTTTTCCAATTCATTCAGATTCGTTACTATGTCCATTTGAAAAATCAAAAATGAAATTTTCACCGCAAATGAATCACAACACACTAATCGCACAATTATATTAGAAACGTTTTGAGAAAAAAAACCTCAGTTGACCTCACTCGCATACAGTGAAGGATAGGATTTGATCGCCTGCTGATTTTGAATGTTTGCCCACTCACAAAGAAATGATCAGTCTAACAATCAAATGGTATGTGTATTGTAACACTGAGAGACAGAATAGCAACACAGAATTCAAGAGAAATGCATGTCTAACAAATTATGCACTGATTTGCATGTTCATGAGGGAAATAAGCATTTGATCCTCTTCACAAAACATGACTTAGTACTTGCTGGCAAATCCCTTGTTGGCAATCACAGAGGTCAGACGTTTCCTGTAGTTGGCCACCAGGTTTGCACACATCTCAGGAGACATTTTGGCCCACTCCTCTTGGCAGATCCTCTCGAAGTCATTAAGGTTTGGTGGCTGACATTTGGCAACTCAAACTTTAAGCTCCCTCCACAGATTTTCAATCAGATTAAGGTCTGGAGACTGGCTAGGCCACTCCAGGACCTTAATGTGCTTCTTCTTGATCCACTCCTTTGTTGGCTGTGTGTTTTGGGTCATTGTCACGTTGGAACACCCATCCACGGCCCATTTTCAATGCCCTGGCTGAGGGAAGAAGGTTCTCACCCAAGATTTGATGGTACATTGCCCCGTCCATCATCCCTTTTGATGCAGTTGTCCTGTCCCATTAGCAGAAAAACACCCCCAAAGCAGAATGTTTCCACCACCATGTTTGACAGTTGGGATGGTGTTCTTGGGGTAATAGGCAGCATTGCTCCTCCAAACACGGTGAGTTGAGTTGATGCCAAATAGCTCGATTTTGGTCTCATCTGACCACAACATTTCAACCAGTCCTCCTCTGCATCATTCAGCTGTTCAGTGGCAAACTTCAGACGGGCCTGGGCATGTGGTTTCTTGAGCAGAGGGACCTTGCGAGCACTGCAGGATTTCAATCCTTGTCGGTGTAGTGTGTTACCAATTGTTTTCTTGGTGACTGTGGTACCAGCTGCCTGGAGATCATTGACAAGATCCTCATGTGTAGTTCTAGGATGATTCCTTACTGTTCTCATGATCATTGACACTCCACGAGGTGAGATCTTGCATGGTGCACCAGACCTAGAGAGACTGACAGTTGTTTTGTGTTTCTTCCATTTGCGAATGATTGCAACAACTGTTATCACCTTCTCACCAAGCTGCTTGGCGATAGTTTGGTAGCCCAGTCCAGCCTTGTGTAGGTCTACAATCTTGTCTCTGACATCCTTGGACAGCTCTTTGGCCTATGCCATGGTGGAGCGTTTGGAATCTGATCGTTTGATTGCTCCTGTGGACAGGTGTCTTTTATACAGGTAACAAAATGAGATTAGCAGCACTCCCTTTAAGAGACTTCTTCTAATTTCAGCTTGTTACCTGTATGAAAGACACCTGGAAGCCAGAAATCCTGCTGAATGATAGGGGATCAAATACTTATTTCCCTCATGAACATGCAAATCAGTGCATAATTTGTTAGCCATGCATTTCATTTGAATTTTTTGTTGCTATTCTGTCTCTTAGTGTTACAATACACCTACCATTCGATTGTTAGACTGATCATTTCTTTGTGAGTGGGCAAACATTCAAAATCAGCAGGGGATCAAATACTTATTTCCTTCACTGTAATTGGGGGTTCATGTATGTGACTTCCACCGTGCTCCAATTAAACAGACACTTATTGTTTTTCCTCTTTACCATGGAAAGGTTGTCTGTATCTGGAAGTGTTTTACTAGGGAGTGGGTTCTTTATTACATTAATCACTTTCTCTGAGATCAAGCTCCTCAATTTGAACAAGAAAAGATAGAACCAACAAACAAAATCATGCAGCCAGTTTTCTTTTTAATAATAAAAACATCTAAAAACCAAACACTTACTATAGGTAATTGTATACAGCAATATTAATAGTCGCTCTATACTAAATGTGACTCTCAAGATAGTATTGGTATTAAGCAAAATTATCACATGGTGCGGCTGTCAAGTTAGAGTTTAGTTAGATTTAGAGAACACATTTTTGTCATTATATTATTAACTAGGCTTATCAAATTTTAGTAAATCCTTTCTGTCTTAAAAAATGGAACAATTCCCTTCATTTAAATGGGGCTTCCATTGCTTACTGCTAATTCTGTAAATGCCAGTTTCCTAGCAGTCATGTTGACCCTTGTGCTTCAATACATTGGGGTTGATTTACTGTTGACTGTGCACTTTGCAAGTGTAGTTGCACTCTGTAAGGGAATTTTCTCCAGAGTTTAGTAAATGAATGGAAGCTTTGTTGACTTTCATCATCCAATAATATATTGCCAAAAGTATTGGGACACCCCTCCAAATCACTGGATTCTGGTGTTACAATCACCTCCATGGCCACAGGTGCATAAAATCAAGCATCTAAGCATGCAGACTGCTTCTACAAACATTTGTGAAAGAATAGGACGCTCTCCGGAGCTCAGTGAATTCAAGCGTGGTACCATGATAGGTTACCACCTGTGCAATAAGTACATCCGTGAAATTTCCTTGCTACTAAATATTCCACGGTCAACTGTTAGCGATATTATAACAAAGTGGAAGCATTGCTGCTTCCACTTTGTTTATTCAGTTAACAATGAACAAAGAATAAGGTACAAATCAGATCAAAGAAAGAAAAACAAAAAAGGCTAAAGTAGGAACAAAAACAAATACAAGCGTAATTCCGATTAACAGGATTGTACATAACCAGGGTTAGATACAAAAGAGAATATTCTGTGACTTAAGAAAAATATGAAAAATCGGTACAATGGGTGATAGGGGTGTAGGAATGATGTGTGCGATTAACTGATTATGTCGATGATGAAGGGTTACAGGCTGGAAGTATCAAAAAAAGTTAACCAGCTAACACATCATGCTTGTTTTGTTCCAAGAGCCAATCTTTACATGATGTAATCCAAAAGGAGACTGTGAGAGAATGGGTCAAAAGGTAAAGAGTACTGATGGTAGGTCCTCGAGTAAATTTAGGCTTACACTTGTACAGTGAGTTAAATATTGACGGCGGTTCTCAGAGTGAAAGGAAAAGAAGAAAAGCAAGGAAGGAAAGGGGGTTAAGGAAACAGGGGTGAGGTGTCCCGAAGATGATGCGACCACTACCCTGCGAAATGCCAAGTATGTGATGGGTGAATAGTTACCATGGCTTTATTACTGCTTCATTAAACCCAGGAGGTAAGCTGTGTTTAATCCATGGTAGCCATGTACTTTAAAATGTGCCAATCTGATCCTTTTCGATAGCCGCCATCTTCGCGTGTATCAAAAAGCGGTTTATTCTGTGGTTCGTCTCAGCCAAAATTAAGGAGGGAGATTTCCACACTTTAGCTATTATTTGTTTTGCGGCTGTCTGTAATGAGATCATGAGTTTAAATTGTTTGCGTGTCATTGACGCAGGTTTGCTGCTTCAATTTTTTAATTGAAGGATGTTGGATGGGATGAGACCAACCAGGCCATCCACCAAGCGACTTTTGGTTCCTAAGCGTATAGCATATAGCCAGCTTAAACCAGAGGTTCTCAATGGACGAAAAAAAAGGCCTTAACTGAGCAATAGCTAGTGGGAATGTAACTACACATGTGACTAATATGTCATCTCCACAGTTGTTGAGGGAGTAGCAGAGCAATTTTTTGAGACACTGAGAGCTCCCCCACTGTCTAAAATTGGAAAATGTATATTTAATACCATAACACAAGTATGTTGCAAGCTTGGAAAAATGTGAAAGTCATATAAAATATAACTTCACAGTTGAACTCCAAAAAGTACTTTCAAAAAGTATTCTTTTTGAAATGGAGGCATTTTAGTAAGTGAATTTGACTAGGGATCAATTTTTTTAAAATCAAATTTGCAGCAGAGCTCAGACTTGGAGAGGTGGAAAGAACACAAGAAGCCACATAGTGGTGCTGCAGTGCTCCTGTGCCAAAAATGAGGGTGGGGAGGTACCTGAAAGTGAAAATGAAACTGCAGCTGAAAAAAATAAGTTTCCCTTCCCTGCAAAGCAGGACTGTGCGGTGTAGCAGAGCTGTGCAAATGTCAAAACTTGATGGACAAATATAAATCCTTTGACAGATAAAACTGATATACACTATATTGCCAAAAGTGTTGGGACAATCAAGCACCTAGGCATGCGGACTGCTTCTGCAAACTTTTGTGAAAGAATGGGTTGCTCTTGGGAGCTCAGTGAATTCAAGCGTTGTACCATGATAGGTTGCCACCTGTGCAATAAGTCCATTTGTGAAACTTCACTTGACCTGTGCAATAAATCCATCCATGATATTTCCTTGCTACTAAATATTCCACGGTCAACTGTTAGTGGTATTATAACAAAGAGGAAGCAACTGGAAACAACAGCAATTCAGCCACAAAGTAGTAAAATGACAGAGCGGGCTCAGCACATGCTGACGCGCACAGTGCACAGAAGCTGCCAACTGTCTGCAGAGCCAATAACTAAAGCCCTCCAAACTTCATGGGGCCTTCAGATTAACACAACAACAGTGCGTAGAGAGCTTCATAGAATAGGTTTCCATGGCTAAGCAGCTGCATCCAAGCCTTACATCACCAAGTGCAATGCAAAGTGTTAGATGCAGTGGTGTAAAGAATGCCGCTACTGGACTCTAGAGCAGTGAAGATGTGTTCTCTGGAGTGACGAATCATGCTTCTCTGTCTAGCAATCATATGGACGTGTCTGGGTTTGGCGGTTGCCAGGAGAACGGTACTTATCTGACTGCATTGTGCCAAGTGCAAAGTTTGGTGGAGGGGGGTTTCAGGGGTTGGGTTTGGACCCTTGGTTCCAGTGAAGGGACCTCTTAAGGCATCAAGATATTTTGGACAATTTCATGCTCCCAATTTTGTGAGAGTAGATTGGGGATGGCTCCTTCCTGTTTCAAGAGGACTGCGCACCAGTACAAAAAGTAAGGTCCATAAAGACATGGATGAAAGAGTTTGGGGTGGAGTAACCTGACTGGCCTGCACAGAGTCTTGACCTCAACCCAATAGATCACCTTTGGGATGAATTAGAGCCAGGCCTTCTTGTCCGACATCAGAGCCTGACCTCACAAATGCGCTTCTGGAAGAATGGTCAAACATTCCCATAGACACACTCCTAAACCTTGTGAACAGCCTTCCCAGAAGAGTTGAAGCTGTTATAGCTGCAAAGGGTGGGCCAACTCAATATTGAACCCTACGGACTAAGACTGGGATGCCATTAAAGTTTATGTGGCGTCCCAATACTTTCGGCAATACAGTGTGTATATATATATATATATACATACTTAAGTTACTCTATCACGAAAGAAGTACAGGAGCTGCAACTTTTGACCTCCTTAAAAAAATGCTAGTTCCCTTTCTGTGTCATACTTTAGTTTTTTCTGAGTCAGAGATCCAGAACAAGCATGTTGTAAGTGCTGGTTCACATACACTATATTGCCAAAAATATTGGAACACCCCTCCAAATCATTGGTATTCAAGTGTTCCAATCACTCACATGGCCACAGGTGTATAAAATCAAGCACCTAGGCATGCAGACTGCTTCTACAAACATTTGTGAAAGAATTGGTCCCCCTCAGGAGCTCAGTGAATTCAAGCGTGGTACTGTGATAGGTTACCACCAGTGCAATAAGTACATCCTTGAAATTTCCTTGCTGCTAAATATTCCACAGTCAATTGTTAGTGGTATTATAACAAAGTGGAAGCAACTGGGAACAACAGCACCTCAGCCACAAAGTGGTAGGTCACGTAAAATGACAAAGCGGAGGAAGCGCATGCTGAAGTGAACAGTACATAGACGTCGCCAACTGTCTGCAGCGTCAATAGCAAAAAACCTCCAAACTTCATGTGGCCTTCAGATTAGAACAACAACAGTGCATAGAGAGCTTCATGGAAAAGGTTTCCATGGCCGAGCAGCTGCATCCAAGCCGTACATCACCAAGTGCAATGCAAAGCGTTGGATGCAGTGGTGTAAAGCACGCCACCACTGAACTGTAGAGCAGTGGAGACATGTTCTCTGGAGTCACAAATCATGCTTCTCTGTCTGGCAATCTGATGGATGTGTCTGGGTTTGGTGGTTGCCAGGAGATTGGTACTTGCCTGATTGCATTGTGCCAAGTGTAAAGTTTGGTGGAGGGGGATTATGGTGCGGGGCTGTTTTTCAGGGGTTGGGCTTGGCTCCTTAATTCCAGTGAAGGAAACTCTTAAGGCGTCAGCATACCAAGACATCTTGAACAATTTCATGCTCCCAACATTGTAGGATGGGGATGGCCCTTCCTGTTCCAACATGACTGCGCATCAGTACACAAAGCAAGGTCCATAAAGACATGGATGAGCGAATTTGGGGTGGAGGAACTTGACTGGCCTGCACAGAGTCCTGATCTCAACCCGATATACCACCTTTGGGATGAATTAGAGCAGAGACTGCGAGCCAGGACTTCTCATCTGACATCAGTGCCTGACATCACAAATGCACTTCTGGAAGAATGGTCAAACATTCCCATAGACACACTCCTAAACCTTGTGGACAGCCTTCCCAGAAGAGTTGAAGCTGTTATAGCTGCAAAGGGTGGGCCAACTCAATATTGAACCTTACAGACTAAGACTGGGATGCCGTTAAAGTTAATGTGCGTGTAAAGGCAGGCGTCTCAATACTTTGGGCAACATAGTGTATATGATAATTTTTTAATCAAGATTATTGGGTTGATTTACTAAAATTGGAGAATGCAAAATCTGGTGCAGCTCTGCATAGAAACCAATCAGCTTCCAGGTTTTTTTTGTCAAAGCTTAATTGAACAAACTGAAGTTAGAAGCTAATTGGCTACCATGTTCAGCTGCACCAGATTTTGCACTCTCTAGTGTTAGTAAAACAACCCCTATGATTTAAAGCCACCCAAACAGCTCAAGGTTATCAGAAATAGATATTTCAATGTGCAGTATGTTTCTATTAGTCTGTATTGTTAAATGTATTCTTTTTATGATTCCATTACATCTTCTCTTTCTTTTATAAAAAGATTACATAGAGAAAAAATGAAATTGACTTTTTCTGTGAATACAGCTGTGCATATTTCTCCCCATTGTCTCTAAAATCAATCTTGATAAAGCTCCCCATGATTATCAGTTGTTGGGCTCATTTCATGATATTTTCAACTCCAGTAAAGATACAATCTGACCAAAGCAAGGTGGAAGGAACTGATTACATGTAGACTGCACAGTCTGTATAGAGTTGTCTGTATAGAGAAGTATGAGACACGGGTTGCAGTAGCCTGTTCTGCTGCTCTATTATCACATATATACCTTAGGTGGGGATTGTGAGTGTTGCCTGATTGTGCATATAAAATACAGGTTATAACCTTACTTGTAAAAAAAATCCGAAGAAATTACAACTTTTCATTTCTCACATTTAGTGTGTTTATATATAGACATGTGATTTCAGGGTACTGCTTTAATACATGTATTGTGCAATAAAATAACATTTTATCAATATAGGTGAATTTAAGGTGATCAGAAAATATAGAGCTCATATTGGGTGGTGACAATTTATCTTGCCTATATGCATAGGGGTCTATTTATAATATATATAATAATACTGTATTTAATAGTGTTTTCATACAAGATACACATAACTTTTACCCAAGATTCACACATTTTTCCAATCAAACCCCATTAAAAAAATGTGTAAATTCTGTGAAAAATGTATAATAGATACTGTTTAAACTTAAACTTTTTAAAGTTTTACAGGAGGAATGCCCTTACATTCAATACAGTAAGAGTGCCAGGATATATACCACTTTACCATTTTATGTTTGCTTGTCTCTCTGACAGTCAGTACAATTCCGTATATAAATGCCAGTAGAAATCATTTTATGCTTTTGAAAACCTATATACCATATATACATCTCTGCCTCTTTGACAACTATAATTATGTGCAGTACCCACTTAACCAGTAACAACCAGATTTCAGCCACCCCCCTCTGCCAATCCCTCCACTGGCTTCCGATTGCGCAACGGATCAAATTCAAAATCCTAACGCTGACGTACAAAGCTGTCCACCATACTGCCCCGAACTACATCACTGACCTAATATCCAAGTACCGCCCAGCACGCACACTCCGCTCCTCACAAGACCTCCTTCTCTCTAGTTCCCTGGTCTCCTCCTCCCATGCCCGCCTCCAGGACTTCTCCAGGGTGTCACCCATCCTCTGGAACTCCCTGCCCCAACCCATCAGATTATCACCTACTCTCCTCTCCTTTAGGCGCACCCTGAAAACCCATCTCTTCAGGGAAGCCTACCCCGCCCCCTGCTAACTTGCCGACCTCCTCCACTCTTCCTACCACTCCATCCCCCACAGCTATCTCCTCCTGTGCCACCATCCCCTCCCTCCTAGATTGTAAGCTTGAAAGAGCAGGGCCCTCGATCCCCTCATGTTTTGCATTGTATTGGTATTGTTCTGTCACATGTTCTGTCCCCCTTTGTAATGTACAGCGCTGAGCGAACTATTGGCGCTTTATAAATACTGTATAATAATAATAATAATGCTGTCAACTAAAAGTGCAGCACTCTAAACCAATTATTTCGTTTTTGGCTCTGCTGTACTCTGTGGAGTGGTGATCTGTTTTTTTTTTTGTTTTTTTTTGTGGGTCTGATCAGGTTTCCCTAAGCGTTGTGGTTGATTACTCTTGACTTCCTCAGGAAGAAGCTTCTAGAGAACAGAGTAGGGGGCTCAACCACTGAAGTTATAAATATTTTTTTTACTCTCAGCTAATCCCTGGGAGGGGCACACAGAAGGTGGCTGAGAGAGGTGATACATGTTTGGGTGGCTTGCTCTTGTCCTGGGGTTGCAGCCCCAGGTATGAAGCCTGTGTAACTGGTGTTACTGTTTGGGCCCTAGCATGTGCTGGGATAAGGACCCAGAAAGGATTTCATTAAGGATACTTGCTGGAGGGAATCATTTGAGGACCTTAGTCTGGAGAAGGATATTTTTTTTATAGCCTCACTGAAGAGTGTCACATGGAAGCTGGAGTCAGTGGCAGCTGTCCTGGGGCATTGTGAGTTAAAACCTTGATTGAAGATATGCATGTGTCAAGAAAATAACTGCCAGAAATTGCTGTTCGGACTGGAGCTGCTTGTACGGAGTTTTAGATTTAATGACCATTCCTCCTACCCTCCGCAAAAAAAAAAAAGGTTGTTACAAAATGTTTCCTGCAAAAAGACTGTCCTCCTGTTGTTGCTGGCGTAATTTTCTGCAATAAATCGACAAAAGACATCCATTAGACTAAGCCTGTGTTGTTGGTGTGCTTGGAACAGCGACTGTGGCAGGCAGCCTCCATATTTTATCAGGAGAGACCTGGTCATTCTCAGCAGCCCTTTTGGGGGTAGTGCTACATAATTTATCATTTTTAATTGGTTGCTGTGGTACATCCTTTTTGGTATTTGAACTGTTTTACTGAGTAAACCTGATAAGGTCAATGAGATCAATAGTTAGAATGATGTACATCAAACATGATGTTGTCCATGCTTTCTTTATAGCTGTAGATCTAGCCTGATATTTATTGCTTAACAGTATGCAGCTTACCCCCACTCCCCTCCCTCTTATAGTTAATTATAATAGGCCATAATAGCTCTGTATTGTATAATTCATGTTGTAGAGCTCTGTTGCAGTTATAGCATGGTAAATAACAATGAGATCTTAGTAGCAATGAAGGCCAACACCTGCAAACACTGCCATTTTATAGATATAAGAGCTGGCAGACAGAGCTGGGAGCATTTACTGTGTAAGACTAATATGTAATACTGAAACATAATAGTTTGAACAAAAAAGTCAGAAATGCTGTCTGGTCTTCTGTTTCCTGTAACTAAATATGTCAATGAAAATGAGCAAATCTAAAAGTTTGGCAAGGGCCTGTGTTGACTGGCTTTTGCTCCTATTAAATGGGTTTAAAATTCCTATACATGTCTATGGGAATGCAAAATCCACTGTCAATGAATTTGAATGATCTCCGAAATGTCTCTAAGTGATGTCAAAAGGTGGTAATAAACGATTAGAAAATCGACCGATCGGTCATCCGACGACCGAGAGGCGTTCGTTCGTTGGTCGAAGTCATGGCCCACATTAACCAATCTAAAAAAATCGTTCATCGGGCAATACGTAGTGTTGATATCTTCCATACAAGTGGAAGTGATGCAGTGTGCGTGTGACCTTGTAGCCACGCCCTTCTGGCCAAAACAAGCGATATACACAGCAATTAACAGCAATGAGTATAATATAGTTTATTATATTACCTATATACATAAATAGTGATACATAAAAATATAATATGCAGAATTCTGGTTTCATTATCTCATTAAGCCAATCTACTTTTAACATTTGGATTTTTTGTTCGTGTTTACGAAGATTCCTTGGACATAAACATCCGGGTCATCTTCTGAAAGTACTCGATTTGGGTTTGAAATATGTACCATGGGCTAATATTAACAAATTTGATACATTTATAGATGTGTAGATGTTTGTGAGGAAATTAAATGTAAAAAAAAATTTTGAGACAAACAAAAGGTCAGAAAATAATGTAAAAATACAGAATGAAAGTAATTTTCCACATAGCAATTTAAAAAATAATTCCATTATTGTAACAAATGCAAAGCCTGTAAAAATACCTCAAAAAAGAAAAATAGAGTAGTGAAACATTTTAGGTCTTCTTCAACCAACTAAGAATATAAAATTAAATCATATCTTGTGAATCCACACATGTGGTATATATGTTGGAATGTCCTTGTCATTTCCAGTATGTTGGAAGAACAGTTAGAACTTTAAAAACAAGAATTAGAACACATAAATAATATTAAGAAAGGATTTGATAAACATAGTGTATCTAAACATTTTAAACTGTATCATGATTGTAATCCAAACTTGCTGATCTTTTGGGGTAT